TGGTCTATATTGGTCTATATTTGGAAATTTGGAACCAATGTTGCCTACAAATTGTTGAATGTTGGTAAGGTAATATACAATTAGACAGAGAGCTGGTAAACATTTAGAATTATTAATTATTGAATTATTAAATTATTCTGAAACTTATAACTGATGTTGAAATATTACACAAATATTTGAAGATTTGAAGTTGAAATAATATAACGCATAAATCAATGTCATTTATTTAACAATAAAACACCTGAAATTTATTTATTTATTTATTTATTTATTTATTTCTGAAATGAACATATACGTAAATTTATTAAGAATGTTTTTGTGGAAATTCATTTATTAAATATAAACAATGATACAAATATATAACTGCATTAAAAATATGATTATTTATAAAACACAAAAGTGTCATAAATATTGATTATTTTTTTAATAGATATTTATTAATACATATCAAGTAAACTTTTTTTATAACAATAACAAAAGCAAATAAACTTTCCTATTTATAACATCATCACTCGATAAAACATTTCACAGCATCTGAACATATTTTATTTGTTGTTAATATATTTATTATCCATTATGAAATATTTATTTCATCGTCTAGAACAGTCATTGGAAAACCTACCTTACATTTGATATATATCAAGTAAATTATAATCGAATAATTATTCTATTATAATTTACGTGATATATATCAAATGTAAGGTAGGTAAAGTAATAAAAGTAATAAATGCAAATTAACTTAACTATTTATAACATCATCACTCGATAAAACATTTCACAGCATCTGAACATATTTTATTTGTTGTTAATATATTTATTATCCATTATGAAATATTTATTTCATCGTCTAGAACAGTCATTGGAAAACCTACCTTACATTTGATATATATCAAGTAAATTATAATCGAATAATTATTCGATTATAATTTACGTGATATATATCAAATGTAAGGTAGGTAAAGTAATAAAAGTAATAAATGCAAATTAACTTAACTATTTATAACATCATCACTCGATAAAACATTTCACAGCATCTGAACATATTTTATTTGTTGTTAATATATTTATTATCCATTATGAAATATTTATTTCATCGTCTAGAACAGTGACTGGGAAACTTTTTCAATCATAACCCAAAATATTTTTGTCCAAGTTTGTATTGTCATCTGAAACCTCGTATTCCTTGTTAATAAATTTATAATATATCATTATATATTATCAATATGAATAATTTATGAAAGCGTTAAAATGAGATTGTAAAATGCACTCGACTCTACTTTTACCTTAAAAAATAATGACTTCATATCATAGTCTAAAATCTTGCTATGCAAATGTACAGATTTATTGACATTCCACATTGCATTTATTATAATCAAACATTATGACTATTCTGTCAAAATTTATATCTTTCCTTTCTATAACTTATTTAGTTACAAACTTTTGATGAAAAACTTTTCGATAACATTTTACTACTAAGCAAACCAGTTTCTCTATTTTCTGCGCTTACAACAATATTACCTGAAAATAAATAAGAATATGTTTTAAATGCAGAGACATATAATTATATATAACAAGTATTGTCTTACCTTTTATAAATATGAAAGTGCAGTATGTCTTCACTCAAAAAGATTAGGTTATGTTATATTTTATTATGTTATATTTTATTATGTTATATTTTATTATATTTCACATAATATGTACAACTGATTTCTCAATGTGTTTAAACTCCTGATCAATATAAAAATCCTTAGTGAGAAAAATAAAATTATCTTGCATTTCTTACCATTTTTATTGAAAACTTGCAAATTTTGACATTTCGAATAGCTAGTTTCCGATTATTTATTAGAGATACTAATAATAATGTAGTTAGCAGTAATTATTCTAAAAATAAATAGCTATTAGTTACAATGCATAAACGCATAATTAAGTATTATACTCACCAATAGTAAAAAGAATTCGTCTATTAAAACTAAGGTTATGTTAGATATACATAACTTATTACTTAATCTATCCATCCCAAATCAAATCAGATGACGTAAAATTAAGTTGAACTTTCAAACCTTTGTATTTTAATCCAAAGTAACAACAAAGAAATGAAATATTGTATATTTTTCAGAGACAATGCTTACTTAACCAAACTTGTTTGTGGTATATATTTCGCACCAATGCACATTACACACATTAGAAAACAATGTACACTATAACACTATTACACATTACACATAACTGAAAATATTATTCGATTATTTCCAGCAAAACTAGTATCTTAAAACATACTATAATTAACAATTTTGCATTAAAGGCGCCGTGTGACGCGCGTCGCTTCTTGTAGGCATACGTCATGCATAGAAGGCATAGAAAGATCTAGAACCTTATACCTGCGGTTCAGGATAGTGAGTTACTACAACAAGATTGTATATCTTGGTGGTGTAATGGCTAGCGTCGCAGCCTTTTGATTTTGATTTTGGGGTTCAAATCCCAGTCCATTTATTATTATTTTTTTATTTTATAATTGTATGAGTAAATAAAATTAAAGTTTTCAATTAGTTTTATATATATCGGACAGTATTTAAAATAAATTACCCTGTAACATTTATAACTTTTTTATAATGAGAGGAAAACTGAATTTTTATACTATTCTCAACATTTGAGGTTTTCATAAAGAAACCGTATAAAGTATTATACATCATTAGAATCGTCTCAAAATTCTTAGTTTTTCTTCCACATATCACAACTTAGTATTTCAAACGGTTTGGCCTATGGGCGAGTTGCAGTGCTAAAATTCAAGAAAAATTGAAAAATCTGAAAATAATTATACGAACACACATATTGAATTATATATCATTTTATTCGTAATTTTATTCCGCATCTTTCGTCCGAATAAACTTTTTACGTATCTTTTACCTTTTAATTTGTAAGGGTGAATAATTACATGGTTAAATATTTACAGCCATATATATCTGGCGTATGTTGTTTTCGTTCTGTTGAGTCGATAGCTAAGCGCTAGCGTTGCCGACTCTTAACGTCGTAGTCTCGGGTTCGATCCCAGATAAGATTTTTGTTTTTCATTTTAAATATAATAACAATAATTATGATTGAGGAATTTGAGGAAACAATATTTATTATTAATTAACATGCAAACAATATTTAATAGTCAATTATAAAAAATGTTGCATCAATATTCATTTTTTATTTTGAGGACAATATTTATTAGCTTATGATAAAAAATATTGCATAAATATTTATTTTTCAATTTGATGACAATATTTTGTACCCGATGATAAAAAATGTTGCATCAATAATTTCATTTCAATTTGTGGACAATATTTATCAGTCGATGATAAAAAATGTTGCATCAATATTTTTATTTCAATTTGTGAACTATATTTATCAGCCGATGATAAAAAATATTGCATCAATATTTATATTTCACTTTGGGAACAATATTTTGTAGCCGATGATAAAAAAATATTGCATCAATATTTATATTTTAGTTTGAGGACAATATTTATCAGCCCATAATAAAAAAATATTGCATCAATATTTCTATTTTATTTTGAGGACAATATTTATCAGCCGATAATAAAAAATATTGCATCAATATTTCTATTTTAGTTTGAGGACAATATTTATCAGTCGATGATAAAAAAATATTGCATCAATATTTATTCTTCTATTTGGGGACAATATTTATTAGCCGATGATAAAAAATATTGCATCAATATTTCTATTTTAGTTTGAGACCAATATTGGACAAGGCCATTTATAGAGATTATTGCCTCAATATCGGCTGACGTTGGCCTGATCGATTAGTTGACATCATCACAGAACCGACGTTCGCCGATATTTTTGCAATATAGGCAATCACGGCCACAGAAAACCGATATTGGTAATATATTGTACCGATATTAATTTCTACATGGGATGTTTTCAAAGTTGAACTATCTAAGAATATGGGTACGAGAAGGTTTTTGAAAATTTGAATTATTTTTGGAGATACAAGGTATTTTACTGACTCGGTCTCCATACTGGTTTGGCTTCACGCAAAACTATGCGTTTTTCTCAGAACAGACTTTTTCAGTACTGTTGACACAATTTCTCGAGTTTTAATCGACCGATTCACTTGAAATGTTTAGAGAGTCTTGTTTATAGACCTATCTATAGCTCGAACTAGGATTATCCCCGAATTCCAATTTTTACTATTTTAAAAAAATCGAGAAACTCAACAAATCAGTAATAAAACACTTTTTTTTCAAACAGTCGCCATTTGTAAAAAAAAATTCAACTCATCACTAGTTCGGGCGATTGCGACATCATTGCAGTGATTAATAATCTTTTTATTTTTTGCATTTCCGATGGTTAGGAGGGCTCAAATCATGTCAAGACTGAGGTGCCAATTTTTTGAGACCACCCACTTCATCAGCTGCCGGTTTCTACAATTTTCAACTTTTTTATTTTTTAGTTTTTGTTAAAACATCTGTATCATCTTCTCGCTTCTTTATCCCTGTACTTACTTTTCATTCAATGTTTGATGAATGTTTAAAATTTATCGATTTATCGTAGGGCCATAATATTCTAGTATAATCTCTTGAACTATGATATATATCAAAATATCAATTTCATGATATGTCAAATAAATATCAATTTCAATTTTCTTCTATTTACAAAAAAAGGGACTCGGCTGATCATAGTGCAAAACTGACAAAAATTCATTACCAAATTACATAGAATGGCTTTTAAATTTTTGAAATCGGTTCAGACGTTTTTGAGAAAACGCCGACTTAAGGTCAAAAATCGACTTGCATACACACACACATACTTTATCCAAATTTAGTATCATTCGATTCGGAAAGGCTTGGAACGTGGAGAAAATATAAAATAGGCAAATCGGATTTTTAGGCGAAAACATAAACTCCTTTTTTGTGAAGATAATAATATTTTATTTTGTTAGTATTTTTTTTTATTTTCCAGTAAAACCTATGTATCTTCTTCCTCCCCAGACTTACTTCTCATTCGATTCCCGAGCCGAGCAACAGCTGGAGGTCTATCTGCGCTACGGGCAGCATCCCGAACTATACCCGAATCGCAGAGGGGAAGTGGTCCCGGGGTAAGTTGATTAAACTTCATATCTGAAATACCTACTCCTCAACTGAAAACTACTCACTACCTCGTTACTTAACTTAAGAACGAAACTTTCGTAAACTGATTAATCTTGAAACCCGAATCGAATTTTCAACTTTCGTATCGGCTTCTGGAAACCGATGGATGAGGAGAAATTGAGTTATTATAGATAATAGTTCACCTATACATGTAATATTACAAACATAGTTAGTCAAAAATAATGTAAATGTAATATAATGAATACTGGGCATGGTAGTAACAATTAATTAATTAAGTAATTGAAAGTGGCATTTAGTCTTAAGGAAAGTTGCATGAGTTTTCCGATTAGTGTAATAATTGACTTAAGGGGGTATTCTAGTGTAGAAATTCAAAAGAATCAATTTTTTTTATTTCATATTTTCGAAGTTTAACTATATAAGAATATGGGTATGAGAAGGTTTTTGAAAATTTGAATTATTTTCGGAGATATAGACATTTTACTGACCCGGCCCATACTGGTTTGGCTTCACGCAAAGCTTTAAATGCGTTTTTCTCTGAACAGACTTTTTCAGTACTGTTGACACGATTTCTCGAATTTTAATCGACCGATTCACTTAAAATGTTCAGAGAGTCTTGTTTATAGATCTATCTGTAGCCCGAACTAGGATTATCCCCAAATTCCAATTTCTACTATTTTTAAAAAATTCGAGAAACTCAAAAAAACAGTAAAAAACACTTTTTTTCAAACAGTCGCCAATTTGTAAATAAAATTGTTGCTCATCGCTAGTTCGGACGATTGCGACATCATTGTAGATTAATAATCTTTTTATTTGGATTTCCGATGGCTAGGAGGGCTGAAATCATGTCAAGACTGAGGTGCCAATTTTTTGAGACAACCCACATCAACTGCCAGTTTTTACAATTTTCATTTTTTTTTATTTGTGTTTTGTATTTTAATAATAATAATAAACAAGTGGTAAAAAATGATAGTAAAAACATTCATTGCTTTTATTACGACACTTTAAAAATGACCTAAAATTCATCGCTCTACACTAGAATACCCCCTGAATCAATCGAAATTGAAATTTAGATATTTAGATAAAATTTTCAACTGTTTATTGTAAAAATAAAGTAATCGCTTTCAATTAAATCTAAATAATGCAATTTCGAATAGAATGTTCTCAAACCCTTTTAAATTATAATAATTATATTGCATAGACACATGCTTGTATGCCTTAAAATTGTAGCTTAATATTTTAAATTTTAATAAATTGACAATGTTTAACTCATCACATCACAAAAGCGACTTTTGACAAAAATTTTGACTATAATATTTTTTCAAACTTTGATGAATTCTTAACATTAAATTATTTGTCGTAGGGCCGTAATATTTTAGTATGTTTTATAAGACCAAGAAAAGGTTCATAAAAATCGGAAAAAAAAATTTCAACAGTTAATTTCAAGAAAACGGCCCGGTAGATTTTTACCTAAAACTAATTAGTATCATTCTCAACCAATATCTTTTGAACAGTTTTTGATTTTTTAAAATAGATTCAGAATTGGTGGCTAAAACATGAACGGATTTTTTTTTCACTTTTCTGCTATTTACAAAGAAACGGCTTAGCTGATCATCGCGCAAAATTGATAAACGCTAGCTCTCATCGAATGGCTTTTAAATTTTTGAAATTTGTCTACTCGTTTTTGAGAAAACGTCGATTTAGGGCAAAAAATCTGTTCACATACACACACACAATTTTTTTTTAATTTTAATATTTATTACAACTGTTAAATTATTAACATCTAGTAATAATAGAGATAAATGTAGATAAATAATAACATAAATTTAAATAAATAAACACACACACATACACACATACTTTTTTCAAATTTGTTTTCATTCGTTTCAGAATGGCTTGAAACGTCGAGAAAACATAAAATTAGCAAATCGAACTTTTTGATGAATACATAAATTTGACCTTCGGGAAGTTAATAATTTCATTTATTTTTTCCCAGCTAACTGAAAATTTGACCGTACTCACACATTTGTATAATCATAATGATATCTTACCTTAATTTATGTATTTCAATTAGTTATTAAAGTCACAGTAAAACTTTAAATTTGAACAAGAATACGTACCTATACTTAATAAAACCACTTAGTCAAATTTATATATTAATACCAACTATTTATTCTGCAAAATTAAGCCAAGCATAACAATTGTATTATACTTCGCGTTCAACCATCCTGACAAAACATCACAATTGTTTTACAAGTTGCATTTAATTCGATAATCTTACCCTTTTCATATTTATATAATACAATATAATTTCAAAAGCCGCAGCCGGACTTGACTAGCGCTTAATTGCAAAGTTTTATCTCATCTCAATCTCGGTTAAGTAATTGCTCTGGATGCTGACTTCGCGAACGAAGTTTTGTATGAATTTAGCCATATTACCGAAGTTCTTGTTGTCGGGGGTTTATTCTGCGGGTTTATTCTTGTTCCTGGCATTTGTTGTTGCTATTTTTCTTGAAGGAAACTTAAAATGTACAAAGCCCAGCCAGGCCTTTTCAATTCATCTGGTATGGTGAAAATTTCTTTGAAAGCAAATTAAGTGTTTGAGGAAGGATGCAGAAGACAAGGATAAGTGATTTATAATAAAGTATTATTTTCTACAAAACTAAATTAATTTTGTTAACTTCTCGTAGGGCAAGTTATAGTAATCGCAACAGTTATTGATGCTGTTTTTTATTGTGAATGTGGGCTTCAGTTTACATATTATCAATTTAGATGTTTCTCAATATATTATTAACTTCCCGTAGGGCAAGTTATAGTAATCGCAAAAAAATCGAAAATGAAAATTTTTGCATTTCTCGACGTTTCAAAGGTTTCTGAATATTTTGGCATACCTTAGAAAAAATGGATGTATGTGTGTGTGTGTGTGTGTGTGTGCGTGTGTGTATGTATGTGCAGATACAAATTTTCGTCGACGATTTCGGGAACACCGATCAACCGATTTGAATAATTCAAAAAACATTCGATTTGTATTGATAAGGAGACGTGCTGATTAGTTTTTGGCGAAGTCAGGTCTAGCCGTTCCGAAGATACGGGGCAAAAAGTGCCGAAAACGGTAACTCAGTTTTTAAGAGAACGGAGCGTCCGATTTTAATAATTCAAAAAACATTTGACTTGTATTGACAAGATGAAGAACCGATCTAATTTTCATGAAGGCAGGTCTAGCGGTTTCGGAGATCTAATGAAAAAAGTAAAAAAAAATGCCATTTGGCGGTCAAAAATGATCATTAGACATATGCACATCAAATTATCAAATATTTTATAGAGATTTTAACAATAAGTATAATTTTGGTTTACAATCCTATGGGTTCCGTACCAATGTTTACGCGTTAGACGTCGACGCGGCGCTTACGCGGTTTGATATTTCGTCTTTATGCAGTTAAAACAGTACGATTGCTTTGAAAAAAAGTTTAGATCTTTCAAAATATGTCATTATAAAGAAAACATTTTTTTACAAAAAAAAAATTAAAAAAAAAAAAAAAATAAAAAAAATTTTTTTTCAAAAAAAGTAATTTTTGTCTAATTGTTTGTCAAAAATCTTATTTTTTCGAAGTAATTTTTTTTCAAAAATGTTAATCGTTATTAAAAAAATAATAATTTTTGGTATGGGAAGTTCCAGCAATTTGCCTTAAGGCACGATGCCTTAATTTCCTTAAGACAGAATTCCACTTACAGCTAGTTGTATAATAAAATCAATTGGGAAACAAAAATATTGCCCAGTATATTTGTGATGAACAATTTGCACCATCAAAGTCAGTATCCATCAAAATATCAGTCATTTGCGTTTTTTTCTTTTTTTCCCTCGACATTAAAATATATGCCGCCCGTTAACGTCATATGCAATATTATACCTCTGAATAGATTTTTTCGCATGGACTGTTCATTATGTGAAGGATTAACATTCTGGCAGCTGTGTTAGGGATCTGCCATCCACTATATACAGAACTGATTGCCATTGTTTATGAAATCCCAGAGCAACTTAAGTGCGATTTTGCCCGACTACGTACGTAACTGACGTTTTTACATGTCGCACTAAAAAAACGTTTGCAGCGCAAAAACAAAAGCTCCGCAAGTCGAGCTTTCGCAATGCAATGCAATGCGACCTCAAACGCCGCAAGCAAGACAATGGATTACAACGTTTTTTCAACAGTATTTAAATTTATGTTTGTTTTCATAAATTTGTAATCTGATGTAGACTGTATTAAATAATAATAGCTCATAGAAATTTCTACTGCAAAAGATATTGCAAACTAGTGGGGCGCATGGCATCGTGCCTTAAGGCAAAATGCTGGAAGTTTCCGTAACAAAAATTATTCTTTCTTTCTTTAACATTTTTTAAAAAAATTACTCTTAAAAAAATAGATTTTTGAGAAACTATAAATTTTTGACAAAAATTTACTTTTTTTGAAAAAAAAAGAATTTTTGAAGAAAAAATCATTTTGAAGTATTTTGGAAATTCAGAACATTTTTTCAAAGCAATCATACTCTTTTAACTGCATAGAGACAAAATATCGAAGCGCGTAAGCGCCGCGTCGCCGTCTAACGGATAAACATTGGTAAGGAACCAATAGGAATGTAAACAAAATTTATACTTATTGTTAAAATCTCTATAAAATATCTGATAATTTGATGTGCATATGTCTAATAATCATTTTTGAACGCCAAATGGATTTTTTTTTTATTTTTTTTACTAGATTTCCGAAACCGCTAGACCTACCTTCATTAAAATGTTTTTTGAATTATTCAAATTGCTTCATCCGTGTTCCCAAAATCGTCGACGAAAATTTGTATCCGAACACACACACATAAAAGCACACAAACACACACATACATTCATTTTTTCTAAGGTATGCCCAAATGTTCAGAAGGTTTTAAAACGTAAAGATATATAAAAATTTTCCTTTTCGATTTTTTTGCGATTATTATATCTTTCCCTACGGAAAGTTAAAAATTACATAAATATGCATATTTTGGGTAAACGCAGGTAAAGTTAATTATATATAAAACAAAATTATCTGCATAAAGTTATTATAGTTTCTTATAACCCAGTAATTTATTTAACATATTTTTATTCATAATTATATATAATTTTGTGTATATATATAAATATAAATATATATATATATATATATATATATATATATATATATATAAAGCTTCACTAAGTATTTTAGGTTTTATGATAATGAAGCCCACGTCTAATGAAGGTCTAATAAAACCAAAATGTGAAATATCGCACAACGTTTTTATAAAATTACATTTTATATAAATTTTATAGCTAACATTATTAAATATAATAATCAAACACAGCAAAACTTTCCTCGTTTATTACGAGAAAACTGATTTTCTTGTCAGGTAACCGAGAACATAAAAAAGTAAAAAGAAGGCAATATTACTTCTCAGGGGAAAACATCAAACCTTTTTTTTTCTTGTGCGTTATAATAATTACGAAGGTACAGCATTATTACACAATGTTCATTTTATATAAGAATAAGGGATAGACGAAGAGCTCAGAAATACTTATATAATTCTTTTTAATTAATATTCTTAATTAAATAATGCTATTACTATCACGAGCAAAATCATAATACATTGCATGTGTGTTGTAATATATGAAAGAAATGCAGTAAAAACTTAATTTAAACTATATAATGTTCACTTAAAATTTATCTAATTTTATGTGATAAGAGAAGCTCGCATGTTTGATTAAATTAAATTTATATTTTTCTCCCAGAATGCTGAACACATTGTTACCTGAAATAAAATTATTTGACAAATAAAGAATTTTAAGTTAGAATTAAACATATACCAATTTGCAGACTTAGCTAGTGCTAAAATATTTTTTACATTTATGCCATCCAAGACCATTATTTCTTTTATGATTTTTTCTTCTAGCTCTCGGTCGCTCTATATGTACAAGATGTTTGCGGCATTTATTTTAATATTAATATTATTGCGGCGACTTTTAACTTTAAGAATCTCAAGATCGTGACTTTTCCTTCTAACTGTGATTTCACGAGTTATAAAATACGACTTAACTCTCAGAACACGTTTTAGTTTTATTGCGACTTTGAATTGAACAGGACCATTAAACGTCGCCTTGCATAATAGATTTACGATTTTTGGAAAGGATTTCCTGTTAATGTACTGTAAATTTTTATTACTTTTACTAAAAAAATTAGTTCAGACTCATAAATTTATTATTAAATTCCCGAAGGAGAAGTTTATGTTTTCATAAAAAAATCCGATTCGCTAATTTTATGTTTTCTCAAAGTTTCAAGCCATTCTGAATCGAATGAGACCAAATTTAGAAAAATTATGTGTGTGTGTGTATGTGAACAGATTTTTTGCCGTAAATCGACGTTTTCTTGAAAACGGCTAGGCCGATTTCAAAAATTTAAAAGCCATTCGATGTATCTCGACGAGGACTATCATTTGTCAGTTTTGTGGGACGATCGGCCTAGACGTTTTTTATAAATAGCAGAAAAATAAAAAATTTTTCGTCCACGTTTTAGCCCGCAATTCTGAACCGATTACGAAAATTCAAAAACCGTTCGAAAGATATTGATTGGGAATCGTGCTGATTAGTTTTTGGTAAAGATCAGCCGGGCCGTTTTCTTGTAATAATGTGTTAAAAAAAATTTTTTCGACGATTTTTAATATTTTTTTTGACAGTAGATAGTATAGTCTTCTAGATCATACTAAAATATTACGGCCCTATGACAATTGGTTTAATTTTGAAAACTCGTCAAAGTTTGCAAAAATTGGTATCGTTTTTTTGGCATTTGTCAAAATTAGACCTGTCATCGACGTTTTCTCAAACACGTCTGAATCGATTTCAGAAATTTAAAAGCCATTTGATGTATTTCGATGAGGACTATCGTTTGTCAGTTTTGCGCGACAATCTGCCAAGCCGTTTCTTTGTAATTTGAGAAAAAGTGTTAAACTTTTCTTCTACATTTCAGCTCAACCTACCAAACCGATTTTAAAAAATCAAAAACTGTTCGAAAGATATTAGTTGGGAATGATACTGATCAGTTATAGGTGAAAATCTACCGAACCGTTGTAATTAACTGTTGAAAAAAAATTGAAGCCGATTTTTATGGATTTTTTTAGCGATATTTATCATAGTCTTATAGAACTTACTGTAATATAACGGCCTTACGACAAGTAGTTTAATTTTAAAAATTCATCAAAGTTTGAGAAAATGAGTAGTTTTTTTGAAGTTAGCTAAAATTAAAATTAGACGATTTACTTGGTATAACAATATAGTACTTGGTCTTAATAAATACACTAAACCATTAAAATTCTAAAGAAACTGGTTCAAATATAATAATTGTTGATTTTCGAAAAGTTGCTTTTTGAAAATACTCTGAATTGGCATGTTCGTTCGTTTTTAATTATGTGTAATAAATCCTCTCGGAATACTTCAAATCACTCATAAATTAATTTGTTTGTTATTGATTGAGTCGATAATTTACACATATCAGGAAGTTCATGTAACTTGCCTCAAGGCTAAATACCAATACCAACTAGTTTACTCTTATAGTGTAGATAAATAAATTATAAAAAATCTGTTCACACACACACATACTTTTTCTAAATGTTGGTCTTATTCGATTCAGAAAGGCTTTAAACGTCGAGAAAACATAAAATTAGCGAATCGGATTTTTTTATGAAAACATAAACTTCTCCTTCGGGAAGTTGAAAATAATAGTAAAAAATAAACTAAAATTAATAATAAACTAGAATACTCCTTAAATTAATATATAAATCAACAAATCTAGTAGCATCACAAAATAACCTTATAGATAATTCAATTATCAAATTATGTTGGCACTATTAATCACAGTTACTACTCTATTATCATCTAATCAATAAACCCATTACCATTACCATTTCCCCTCAGATCTTACTGCGAGCGCGAGTTCCGCGACTGCCGCCTGCAGACCTGTTACGTGCAGTCGCCGGCCTACCCGGGGCTCTACCCGAGGGCGCTGAAATGCCGGTACCGCCTGCACACCAGGCTACCCTTCATCAAACTGTATCTTCAGAACGAGCACTTCGCAGTCGACGGACAGCGATGCGAGAACATCATGACATGTCCCATGAGACCCATAGGATCAGGTCAGTTCTGAGATAGACACAATAGTGTTATTAGCTTAATTAATTCCACTTGGAATTTTGATTGATGGGGGTGATGTGGGGAAGATGTATGGGATGGGATGATTTTCTATATTGTATTGTGATTTATTTTTCATATGTTGTGTAGGGTAGGGCGGGGCGCAAAGGGTCAATTTGACTTTTGGTAATTATTGTGGAAACTAAACCAACTAGCTGTAAGTGGAATTCTGTCTTAAGGCAATTAAGGCATCGTGCCTTAAGGCAAATTGCTGGAACTTCCCGTACCAAAAATTATAATTTTTTTAAAAACGATTAACATTCTTGAAAAAAAAATTACTTTGAAAAAATAAGATTTTTGGGAAACTATAAATTGGACAAAAAATAACTTTTTTTTGAAAAAAAAATTTTTTAAAAAAAAAATTTTTTTTTTAATTTTTTTTTTTTTGAAAAAAAATATTTTATTTATTTTGACATATTGTGGAAGATCTGAACTTTTTTTCAAAGCTATCGTACTGCTTTAACTGCATAGGCACAAAATATAAAGCGCGTAAGCGCCGCGTCGCTGTCTAACGCATTGGTACGGAACCCATAGAAATGTTGACAAAATGTATACTTATTGTTAAAATCTCTATAAAATATCTGATAATTTGATGTGCATATGTCTAATGATCATTTTTGACCGCCAAATGGCTCATTTTTTTACTTTTTCCTCCATATCTCCGAAACCGCTAGACCTACCTTCATGAAAATTTCATCGATTCTTCATCTTGTCAATACAAGTAAAACGTTTTTTGAATTATTCAAATCGGACGATCCGTTCTCTTAAAAACTGAGTTACCGTTTTCGGCACTTTTTGCCCCGTATCTTCGGAACGGCTAGACCTGCCTTCGCCAAAAACTAATCAGCACGTCTCCTTATCCATACAAATCAAATGTTTTTTGAATTATTCAAATCGGTTGATCCGTGTTCCCGAAATCGTCGACGAAAATTTGTATCCGCACATACATACACACACGTACATACATACACACACACATACACACACACACACACACACATACATCCATTTTTTCTAAGGAATGCCAAAATGTTCAGAAACCTTTGAAACGTAAAGATATATAAAAATTTTCATTTTCGATTTTTTTGCGATTACTATAACTTACCCTACGGGAAGTTAATTAAATCAAAACACATATCAAACGAACAACTATCTGACTATGTTCAGTGAAAGTCAAAGCTTATTCATCATTGAAAAATTAGTTTTTTTCCAGTTTTTAAAAAATTCGGTACCTGGTCCTTTTTACCGGCAAAAAGGTCCAACGTTTTATTTTAATTTTAACCGAAGCTAAACTTAAATTTCAAGAGTGCATTTTTCACAAAGATAACATTGTAAACTAGTTGGGTGTATGGCATCGTGTCTTAAGGCGAATTGCAGGAACTTCCCGTACCGTAACGGAATATTCGAGGAATACTAAATGTTTTCAAATAGATTATTATAAATATTGTAACATTGTCGATTAGTTATAAGAATTATATAAACTGAATTGCAAAGTTCAAATTATTATAAAGTGTATCAGAACTATAGTCAGAATTAAAAATAAAATCTGAATTATTTTCGATATACTAAAAAAATTTTTTTGAAAAAAAAAAGTTGAAACAAAAATTTATTTCCCAAAATTAATTATTTTGTTAAGACAAGCAGAAAGTTTTTTAAATCATTTAAATCGGACGCTAAGTTCTCTCAAAAACTGCCATTTTTTACATAATTTGCTCCTTATCTTGGAAATGACTGGGCCTGCCTCTGCCAAAAACTAATAAACACTTCTCCCAATTATTACCAATTGAATGTTTTTTAGATCATTCAAATCGGATGCTCCGTTCTCTCAAAAACTCGATATCTATTTTTTGCACTCTTTGTTCTTTATCTCCGTAACTGCTGGACCTGCCTTTGCGAAAAACTAATCAGCTCATCTCCCTATCAATAGGAATCGAATGTTTTTTGAACCATTCAAATCGGTTGATCCGTTTCCAGCCCGAAAACGTGACTGGAAATTTGTATCCATACATACATCCACACACACACACATACACACACACATCCATTTTTTCTGAGGTATGCCAAAATGTTCAGAAACCTTCAAAACGTCGAGAAATGTAAATATGTTTATATATTATACACAGAAACCGAAATGACAAAAACAGGTAAAATATGTCACCAACCTTGTAAACATGCTAAATCATTGTAAAATTTACGACCTTGTCTACAAGTTTTCATATAATTCTTTGCACGACATAAATTTTGCAAAATTGCCCTAAATTCTCGTAGTCGTACATTGACTTGGCGATGTTCCACGTAGTCACTGAGACGATATGATGCACATTTACAACTATTTTATGTGTCCTAAAATTTATAGAGATAGTAATTTTGTGCAAGTATTATAAGATACATTTATGGTTTATATTCGTTAACGTGTCAAAACATTTTTTACCTTGTCATCAATGCAAATATAAAAGATGTAAAACATCAGTCAAAGAGACACATATTTATGAAGCTATATGGGGAAATAAATTTAATTTATGTAAATCGGTGGCTGACCGGTTGTACTAGGAATTTTTTAGATTTAGGTAATAAAGATTAAATTTTAATTATGTTGAAGATCATTTTTGGTCTTATATATTAATATTTAAAAGTCTTATTTCTCTGGTTCAGATTTACTTCTTGTTTTTAATAAATTATTTTCACCACGTGATTTATTTCAGGTATAAAATTATTCCAGAAAATGTTAACCATTTCCCAGACCATTATACAGTACAGCCTCGATTCGTTTACCACAAACGTGTTTATTCATACGAATGTACACCCCATGTATATTCATGACACATTAATATTCAAAGTTTTGGAAACGGAATTCACAGTGAGGTTTATTTTATGCTGTTGTTATAAGATTTAAGCTATATTGTGTTATATACATCCCGAGTATAAACCGTATTTTTATTAAAGGACTTGGCATTTCAGAATATAATTTGTTTTTTTTTTCAAAAATTTCAATTTTTATAACAAACTAGATGACCCGACAGACGTTGTCCTGTACCCATGTCTACTATTTTTTAATATCGTATACTTATATTTACCGTTTGCCTAAAAATAAGAATTATTGTTTTTTAAATTACTATTAACACCAAAACACATATACATTTATAATATGAGCGATGTTAAATGTAGAATTGCTTTAAATAAAATGATGAGTCTCAATTTCCACACTATATTGGAAATTAAAGTCTTTTAAACGGTATAACATAAACATAACCTTAACATAACACTGGTACTTCATGTTGGATTAAATTTATTTAATTTTTTATTATTTAAGATATCAAAAATTGCATCTTAAACTTCTCTTAATCGATATCGTGAGGGTCCAAATGTATCTATTCATCTTTACTTTCCCATTTGTTGTTATAAAGTGAAATTTTTACCAATTTTAAAAATATAGTGAAAAGATTAGTAAAAGATGCAAAGAAATGATATATTGAAAAAAACTTAATTTCATATTTTGAATATTATTTTTAATATTCACGTGAATTAATTTGCCATATCCTGTTCATATGTGTATCATTCAATCTGCCATACATATTCTGTATTTTATATTATTTTAATTTCTGGCACATCTCAGCTGCTATTTGGCAATAATAATGTAGACATTTAATTTTTCTTATTCATAATCATAAATTTATTATACATATTCTAACATTGTCTATTTTCATAAGTGAATTGAAATTTTTGGCAGATGATAGTTTTCATTTATATTCAATGCAAACTATGACATGTCGGTTTTTACATTTTTTCCATTTATTTCTACATTACTACCAGTACTTTATAATCACATATATCCTAGAAAATTTCCTTCAGAAAGATTTGCAAAATCCGAATAATTGTCAAGGAGGAGTATACAGTGAGTGCTTGTAATTTAATATGAACTTTATATAATAACAATAAAGCTCAAATTGATTCTACGTTTTAGTTAGAAAACGTTTGTATAAGAAAAAGAAAAGGGCAGTTTTTAGGGTTTTAAACAAAGAAACATTTTAAAAAAAGAATTGGCAAAATTAGTCCAGGCGTTGTTGAGTTATGCGCTTACCAACACATTTTGCGATTAATTTTTATATAATATATAAGATGACTAGAATTTTCATCGATGAATGTTATTCTTATTCATGTAATATTTTAAATAAATCCGCTACACGACACTAATGAAACATCATTACATTACAATCTGAATCTAATTTATTTTTCCGCATCCTATTCGTTTGGTACTATATTTCCATTTTCCGTTATTTATTCCTAGAAAACTAGAAAAAAAATCCATAGATGCTTTTACCGATCAGATCTGGAATTGCAGTTATGTCACATAGCCAATTAAAAGTGCATTGGTACTTCGAACATTTCCATTTAAAATAAATTGCTATACAAAAATTATTTCAGCCACGTTTTTTTAACGAGTTTTACATGATAGCTCTGTGCCGTTGTGATTGATGCATTTCTGATGGGAAAGGTCATTAGTCGGAAGGTTGCATTTCCTTAATGCTAAGGATATGATGAATGGTTTTAAAATTAAGCGGAAAATAAATATTCATATTTTGCGAAATTGCTAGTTTTGTGAAATGTTAGTGAAGATTTAAATTTAAGGGGCACAACTAATGTGAAATTTTCAGAAAATCGAATTTTCAGTTTTCTCATATTTCGATAGGTTATACCTTTAAAAATAACATACCAAAATTTTAAATCGATAATTCAAATAGTTTTTGAGCCACAGCCATTTAAAGCATAGCATAATGCGTTTCGACAAATTCTGTATACAAGAATGAAAATATTTATTAAAAACCAAAATTTATTTATATCTTGTATATAAGTATATTCATCACTCATAATCAAGAATCCAACGCGCCGAATAAAACAATAATTATTATTATTGATTATTTTCATTCGCCGTATAAGCGTCTGACAT